TCGTCTGGCCCTGGGCTTGCTGCTTGCCCTGACGGTTCTGCCCGCCCTTGGAACGCCCCTTGCTGGGCGGATCCCCACCTCTGGGTCTCTCTGGGGGTTCTTCCCACTGCCTCGGTGAAAAGGGTGCTTCCGCCCTTCTGGAGTGCCCTGGCTGGATCCACTCCTTCTTCGGTGGAGGGGCTTCCGGGGCCGGTGGCACCCTGGAGAGGTCCCCTCCCACCTGCGGCCGTCCTGGCCTCCCCAACTCTGTCTGCCTTCCGCTGTGGCTCTGGTGGGATTGGCTCTCCCCCGCTGTGTGCGCTCTCGCACTGGTGGCCTGTGATCCCTTCGGAGACCAGGCAGCCACGGGGTCCATGGCACCCTGAGTGGCCTCCTGTCACTTGGGGAGGTGTGGGCATGCCTGTGGGGGTGCATCACACACCCACCCATCCTTCCTGACCGGGCAGTTGTGGGATCGACCGCATGATCCAGGGTATTTGTTGTGAAGGTGATGATCCCTGCAGTACGCCACCCCTTTGGGATTCTTGAAAGTTCAGTGGTCTGGCCATGGGGTCGAGGAGGTGTTGGGGGACTTCCCTTTGCCGCCCTTGCCCTTCGGCTTGGAATGGGTCCGAGGACCAAGATCCTTTTCCCCCCTTCTTGGGCTTCTCCCACTGAGTCTGCCACACTTGGGTGCCTTGCTCTTGCTCTTCCCCTTCGTCGGCGCCCTGTTGAGGTGCTCATAGACCTCCCGTTGCCAGAAGAGGAAGTCGCCTCTGATGTTCTTGAGGGCTTCGGAGAGAGTGGTGCCCTGGTGCACCATCTCGTGAATCTTGCGCCATGCATTGCGCTCTGCAAACAGCAAGGTGGTGTCGCTCGGGGGAGGTTTCCTGCCGGCTATGTCCTCCCCATAGAACCAGGCATACCAGTCATCCAACTCCTCCTTGGTGACCCTCAGGTTGCCAAATTGCGGCAGTGCTGCCGTGCACATCAGGACGCATTCATCCTGGGTTTCGCCCGGTTCCAAGTAGGGTGCAGCGCTCGTTTCAATGACCTCCAGCATGTTCACCCTAAGGACCTGATCCACACCAGTAACACCGTGGAGCTGAAGGCCTGGCAGACCAAGACGGTCTCAGCAGCACGAATCAACCGCAACCCGGTCCCCTTGATTGCTCCGAAGTACAGCTTCACGGGGATCCCCTGGTGGACTACCTGGGTGGTCCTAGAAGGCATTCCAGGACATGGACTACTTGCTCCCGACAGTGAGCAAAGACTTCGCCGGGCTGATCCCGAGACCTTCCGCACCAGAAAGGGATGGCTCAAGGATGCTCTTCTCCGTCGGGGATGGGGTTGGTGAAGCCGCTGACGTGACACTCATTCCGAGCGTTCATCCCGGACTGCGCTTTCCAGATGGGGCTCCCCCGGGAGCGCCGCATGTACTTAGGCAACTGGCTCACAGAGAGCACAGCAGACGTCTATGTGCGGGAGAAGCGCAATGTCGTTGTGGAGATTTGGGGCCAGGTAGCGCAGAAGGTCCCCAAACTGAACCTCGGGCCAGGCAGGGAACGCAGGGAGGACTTGAACCACCCGGACTGGGCGGACCCGCTCCCGCCGCCAGCAGTGGAAATCACGGATGCGGGACCGGACGGCCACAAGGACCAAACTGAAGGGGAAGGGGAGGCGTCCCCCACGGTACCCTCAGGGAGCGCACCATCGACTCGCTCATGGTCATTGGTGGAACAGGGACCCGAGGACACACCAGTGAAGGCCAAGGACCTGTTTCCCACCACCCCACACGCTCGCTGGGTCGTGGGCTCCATTTCCCTTATTTTGCCCGGGCGCCAGTGCCTCCACTTCAGAAGCTCCGGTTGTTGGAGTCGTGAGAACCACCTCAATTGGTCCTGGCGGCCCCATTCATTCTCCAGCGGGGAAAAGTCCTCGCTCGGCTTGCCATCCGCCGTCGCCAGGAGGAGGAACCATATGCTGTCCCACAGGTCGGCCAGGTCCGCCGCGGACAGAGGCTGGGGAAGCCTGCCTGCCGCCGCCGCCACCAGGCCGTTGAAGTATTCCGTCGGGACCACGTGGGCGTCTTGTCCTACCGGAATGCTCGAGAGTTCCAGGAGCTGAGAGAAGCGGATGGCCGGCTCTCCGCCCAGCTTCCTCCCCTCCTCCTCAGTGCCTTGGCGCAGGCACATCAGGACCAACAGCTCCCCGTCCGTCTGTCTCGGGAGAAGGACTCATCCGCCAACGTGTCCCATAGGACCCTTGGAATGCGGTCCCAAAGACGTGTGTAGGGCGGGCGCATAAGAAACTTGGTAGATACCCTAGCCATGATGAAAAAGGGGGTTTTGAGCCTCCTATCGAACCGCCGGGACCCAACCGCGGCACAATGCATGCATGCTCCAACCTTGCAGAATGCAGAGTGCAGATGGAGCAGGCAGGCCACACGCATCCCGACACGTCCCCCCCAAAGTCCCGAGATTTTCCAAAACCTCAAGGGGACCTCAAGGAAACCATGAGTCGGCCGCAGCCACTTTTTCCGAACCGTGGCTGAGATGGCCCGTCCTTGGGGCAGCTAATGCATGTGGCCTCATGGTCGAGGAGATCAAGCTGCCGTGACGTGGCTCCACTGCCATGCCACCGGAAAAACCCACGTGCGCCACCAAAATGGAATAAGAGAGGAAACAGTGGTGAAAACCGAACCCAATAAGGAAGACATTTCCCCCCCCCCGGAGACGGGGCCAATGGCACCCAAGTCCCGGGAGGAAGAGATCACACGACTCCCACATCCGACAGGGTTGTGAGACAAAACCTAGCGGCTCCCTCCCTTCAGGATCGCCTCCTTCGCCACCGAGTGGATTGCCGCCAGCCCCGACTTCTACGGGTTGCTCAGGATGACCGACCACAAGGCCGTGGAGACATCGCCCAGGCCGTTCGAGGAGCTGAAGCGCATGCGGGGGGTGCTCGCGTCGCCCAGGACCAGCCGCTCATCCCGGTGACGCCGTCCGCCTCATAGGTGGCCGAGGCCTGGAAGGGGGCGGACTCCTTGCTGGGGCAGACCCAGCACTGCTTGGCTGCCTCTGGCCACCCCGTGCATGCCTTGCACTGAACTTGTAGTCGGAATGACCTGCGTCGAGCCTGTACATGCGCTGGGTGCCGATACACGCCTTGTTCCTCTGGAACTGCGAAGCCCAGACCTCCTCCTGGCGGAGCTGGATCTTCATCGGGACGTACGCCTCCAAGATGCGGATCACCAGGTCCTCCGTGAGGTTCTTCCCAACAAACTTGTAAAACAGGGAGACCGCCTCCTCCACCGTGATGTCTCTCAGCAAGGTGGCCGCCGACGCTGGAAGGACTGGAAACAAGTCCGGGAGGTCCACCAGCTTGAAGTACCCAGGTTTTCCGTCCACCGGCACCAAGGTGACAGGTTTGTTGGCCTGAGACGTAGCCTTCTGAGAAGCCGCCACAAAGCCCTTCAGTCTCTTCGTGGGTGGCGTCTGCGCCTCCTCCGGTGGTGTGGCCCGCTCCGTGCCGTCCGCATCCCCCATGTCCCTGTCGCCCTCCTCGGCGGGGCCAGGGGCACCCAAGCCGGGAGTCGGTGTGGCAAATGCCACTTGGAGACGCTCCAGTGCACTGGAGAGGTCATTCATCACATCGGTCGCCGAAGCTGACGGGGGGGCCTCGGGCTCGTCCAAAACCAAGCCGGCCGCCACTGCCGCCTCCCGTGTGCGAATGTCCTGGGCCTCCTGGCTGGCCATTTCAACCTCCTCCACGGTGAGTGTCTGGTCCTCAATCAACTCAAAGGAAGTTGCCGAGGTTGCCGAGGAAGCCATTGCTTGGTCGGGGTTAAGTTCGAAAATGCAAAAGATCAAAGTTTTTCAATCAGCTTGGGTTCCAGGAACCCAGAGCAATGCTTGAGCCAAAATGGCACATGCCATTATGGTCAAGCATTCCACACACAGTTCATGTTTCCACATGCGTTTCAACATTAACAAACAACACCACCAACAGCAGCAGCAGCAGCAGCAACAGCAACAGCAACAGCAACAGCAACAGCAACAGCAACAGCAGCAGCAACAACAGCAGCAGCAGCAGCAACAACAACCAGCACCCAACAAGCACCAACCGCAAGCACAAGAACAATATCATACTAAAGGGCAAATCGCATCAGCAGCAGAGCACCCAGCCGTAGTGTGAACACGCCAAACAAGGCTGCAATATACACCAATACACCAACAACAAACGACGTCTAAAAACAAACAAAAACACGACAAACACATCACAGCAAGCAACGCAAACACCATGCACAAGCATGCAAATATCACAAACATGCGCAACACCCTCTGCACACCCTCTGCGCGGGATGCGACACTCAACCGCACACATAGCACGCAGCAAACAAGACTCGACAAACTGCAAACACAAGCAAACACAACGCTCAGCAACCAGAGAACACAGCGGACACAACAAACACAATGTACCGAATCATCATAATCTTGAGAGGGACGAAGTCCATTCATAATCTTTCATGAACTCTCAAAATGCAGAACCCACACACCAGCTGAAGCCAACGCATGCTAACTTGGACTGCGCTATCCAGTGTATACAAGATGCTAACACCGCAAGCAAGAACTCTCAGGAATCAGCTCAGTACGGTTTTTGCAGCACGTGTCTCGTGCAGGACACACCAGTTCATGATGCTGGGATAGGACGGGGAATGATTGGGATTGGGAACGGGAATCATCGATAATTGGAATGGGAATGGCCATTCCCTTTCCCGTTCCCTCACTCCCATGCCCGTTCCCATTCATTCCCATTCCCATTCCCAATTCTCAGTCCCGTTCCTGGGCTTGTTTCCCATTCTCATCCCATAAGTTGTGTCTGATATGCTCGGGTGTGGGATTATTTCTGCAAAGTCATCCAATAGTTTGATCCGTCATGCTGTGCTTCCATTTGCAAGGTGCCAGTGGCCAACCTTGTCTGGCGAGTAGCTTCTTAATGTTGGCCCCCCACTGTGGACCCTACGCCTGCACACGTCGTGCCACCGCATCAACCAAGATCTGCAGGACCCTGAGCTGTGGGTCGAGGCGGCGTCCTCTGAACCTTTTTTGAAGATGCCGAGAAGTCTGCTTTGGCTCGCCAGCCATCATATCCACCGCTTTCTCAACTCGTCTGAAGACCTTTAATGGCGGCATCTTTGCATGCCAGCCCGGTAGCGGCAGCTACTCGGCGCTTTTGGCCAGTGTGACAGGCAGCTTGGAAGTCTTGGCGACGTCTTCGGACTAGGTCACGCACGTGGCATCCCAGGATGCAGAGTGTTTCCACTATTTGCTCAGCCGGGCAGCCGGCGGCTCTCAGAGCGCTGCCCGCTTTGCTGGAATGGAAGTACTGTGTCTTGCTCGGCTTCTCTGAGAGCCTAAGATGTTTGACCATCTGGTCCATACATACCTGACGTCCTCCATGCACAATGTACCTAACAAACAATCTCCGCAACAACACAATTAAAAAAACAAAGAACGTCAACAAGCTCAAAAAAAACACAAACGCAACAAACACTCAAACAACAGGCACTGCAACAAAAGCACTGCCACAAGCAAACAAACTAACACACTAAGGAGAGAGAGCAACGGCGTCAATGCAACACCTGACAAGCCAACAAGTCAAACAATTACGCAACCCACCTATCAATCGAACAATCACACAAAATGGCAACCAGCTCAACTCGTCAGCAAAGTGCGGTGCGTTAGTGGATTTGCCGAGTCAGAAGTTATGCGTGGAAGGTGGGCGATCACATATCCTCCATGAGCGTGCGAAGAACCCAACAGTGGTACTGTCAGTTGCTCACGTGAACACGGGGGCCTCTTCAATGTAGGCCGAGGGGCCGATCATAAAAAAAAAACACGCAGTCGTCCAAGGGACAACTCCAGGTGTTCTTTTCAAAGAATAGGTGGCACTGGTAGATGATTAAAACAAAACCGACGGCTGCAAAGATCATCTTGCACCCAACTGACTCACAATCAAAACCCGGTATCAAAATGGCTGACCCAGAACCATGTAAGGAAGGCGGCCGCAACTATTTATGGCTGGGATTGTCCCTTGCTAACCTTCATCTACCCAGGTTTTGATTCTGGCTCTCCCAATGAAAAACAACAATTGGAGACGACGCGATCGAGACCGGCCTTGACCAACCAGCTCAAGTCCCGGTCCGAGATGTCGCGCGGCCCCGCCACCGCGCTCACGCGGCTGGTGCACTTTTGCGAGGTGGGGTGTAAAACCTGGCAGCACAGAGCTGGAGAGGGTCCATTCTTTTTTCAGGGCACCATTTTGAAGTACACATATGGCCATGGGTCAAATTCCTGCCAGTGAACATCCCAATCCTCACTAACACAGACTAAAATGGGTGGTGCACCTACCCCAAAAATGGTACCATTGGTTTTGACCCACAGCCACATGACAAATAGAAAAAAAATGAGGGGCTCCCTCCATTGCGAGCCATTGTGCGACCCTTGGGCTCTAAAAAAAAAATGGGTTCCAAAATCGGAGGCGAAGCGACGCGTGATCGTCCTGCGCAAGCGATGGGAGTCCGTTTCTTCGATCTTCGAGCCCGGTTCTGGGAGGTGCAACCAGATTTCTGGCACAGACCAACTCTTCAAGCGGGTTGTCTCTCAAAATGAGGGACCCCCCAAAAAAGAAAAAGAAAAAAACATATTGGGGGGGCTCTTTTGGGTTTCTCTTCAACGCCAACCGAAAATGTGTTCCCAAGATTCATTGCGCCTGGTTCTGGAGCTGGTGGCCGCAGGCTGGTGTCTTGAGTTGGGGGGAGCCTCATGTTGCCTGGTTTCACAGAAAAGAAAGCACGGTTCGGGGCTCCTTTCCCCAAACAATTTCAAAAGCTGCTTGTGAAAAAATGGTGCTGGGCCGTTTGCACCCGGTAAGGAAACCCCAAAAGCATCAAGTCATCCCTCTTCCTGGAGCTAACTGGCCACATCTTCCAAAGCATGTCCGCAAGAACTCGGGAAACCTCTCAGGGTCCCTCGATTTTCCAGATGTTTCGACCTTCAAAAACTGCGCTTGTTTCAGTTGTGAAGGAGAAAGCCTGTGACCCCGATCAATGGCTTCGTGACTGTTTGTTCTTTCGCGTGGGATGCTGAGTGGAATGTGTGGCCGTGATGACATTCGACTTCGAGCTGTCTACTCCAATAGCAGTGATACTAGCATCTAAATCCACCGTGAAGCAAGTAAGCATGCTCATGCTAAGGACCAACGGAAAATCGCACGACCGAAGGCGCATCGCTGTCAACACAAATTGAATCACACTTAGCATATTAATTCCAGAGGGAAGCGGTTGTGCTTACGAAAAGACAAACGAGGGCCTCTTAGTACGTTTTGTCTTACTTGCTTTTTCGGAAGGGGAGTGCATCGTGCATGCCCGGCCTGGGAAAGGAGCCCATCCACCAGCACCTGGCAAGTGAAAACCTACCCTGATTGAGCGGACTCGCGTTGGCAACGTCTCACAGTGGCTAATCAAAGGAAAGCGATGGCCCTTTTGCACCGGCTCAAAGGACACCAAAAAGCCAAAGTGAGATGCCAGCTTTGACACACACACACACACATGTGTGTGTGTCACATATCTGTTGCATGGGCATCCAACAGAGAAAGACCCAGATTGCATGGCACTTCGCATCCAAAGAACTACAGAAAGGCCTATAGCTCATGGTCTGCCATGATGGACAAGATCAAGATAGTCTTTCAGGTAGAGGAAGCAGCGGCTCAGATTGAACCCCTCAAGATCTCACATCCAGACACCATGCCAATCAGCATACTTCAATCGATCTCAACGTATCACTGGGTCCTCCAGTAGAGAGGTTCGAATAAGGGTGCCCTTTTTCTGGTAGCTTATTGTAGTAGGGGAACCCTCCCCAAAAAAAGTTGGTAAAAGGGCACTGGGGGACCTACATCACCATGTCGTGTTGCCTGCTTCCCTCCGAGACCTATTTGCAGCAACACAAACGTCAGCCAAAAGTGTTGCTCCCTCATAGCCAACCGCAACCCATCTTGAAAGCTCCGCCGGGATCTCTTTGGCAACCCATTTTGCAGGAAGACTCCGGGCCACATTTTGGTGACCTCCAAATCAACCTCCGAAAGTTGGTTTTGAGAAATGACATCCTCCTGACTTGAGTGATTCTGATCACCGCACGGGCACTCCCAATCCACCCACCCGAACGTGGAGAGCCCTTGTGTGGGTCCAGACAAATCTCTGAGACAGCTGTGCATCCCAGTGTTTGGGCGTGACTTTTCAGGCGACCCCCCCAAAATAGAGGGTTTCCTGAGCGGTCCGGATCACTTTCGTGACACCCATAGGAAATTTCCAGGCATGGCGTTTTGGAGGCATGGATGCCTCCAAACCACCAATATAAGCTTAGCTCCATAGGTGGCCTTGTGGCTAAGAATAGATGGCCCTGGCAAATGGCATAAAACCCATCTGAACCAGTGGAACCCATCTATTCTTAGCCAAGCTAACCTAAGGACAAACCTATCGGCACAGAACCCACACCAAGCTGGGCTAAGAAGACCGAAGACCTGGTGCCTACTGTTTTTTCGCCCAACCGACCAGGCGGGATGGGCTCAACAGATCCGTTCCCATCGCCTGGAAGGACTCCTCGCCGGTGCTTCCCAAGGTCAGCTCGTAGCTGTAGAGCCCCGCCCGCTCCCTGCAAGTTCGGACTTCGGACTTCGGGAGACGGGCGGGGAAGCGGCGCATGAGCTGTGGAACTCACAACCGCATGGGTGGTGAACACGCGTGCACAATAGAAAGAAACAAACAAAGGAAAGGAAGGAAGGAAAGAAGGAAGGAAGATGGATAGATAGATAGATGGATGGATAGATAGATAGATAGATAGATAGACAGATAGATAGGAATAGATAGATAGATAGATAGATAGATAGATAGATAGATAGATAGATAGATAGATAGATAGATAGATAGATAGATAGATAGATAGATAGATAGATAGATAGATAGATAGATAGATAGATACGAATAGATTAGATTAGATTAGCTTAAATTAAATCAGACTAGATTAGTTTAGATTACATAGATTAGATAGATATAGATTAGACTAGATTAGATTAGATAGATCAGATTAGATTAGATTAGATTAGGCTAGATTAGATTGGGTTAGGTTAGGTTGTTAGGTTAGATTAGATAGATAGGTAGATAGGTAGATAGGTAGATAGGTAGATAGGTAGATAGGTAGATAGGTAGATAGGCAGATAGGTAGATGGATAGATAGGATAGGATAGGATAGGATAGGATAGGATAGGATAGGACAGGACAGGATAGGACAGGACAGGACAGGACAGGACAGGACAGGATAGATAGATATGTAGGTACACAGACTGGATAACCAGATAACTAGAGGTCAGTAGGTCGCTAGGTTGGTGGTAGGTCGGAAGGTCGGTAGGTCGGTAGGGCGTTAGGGAACATAGATAAGACAGATAAATGGATAGGTAGATACGTGGATAGATAGGAAGGTAGGCTGGATAGCTAGAAAGACAAACAATTAGGATAGATAAGATAGATAAGATAGATAGGATAGATAGGATAGATAGGATAGATATGATAGATAGGATAGATAGGATACATAAGCTAGATAGGATACATAGGCTAGATAGGCTAGATAGGATAGATAGGATAGATAGGATAGATAGCATAGATAGGATAAATAGGATACATAGGATACATATTAGATAGGATCGGATCGGATAGAATAAGATAGATAGGTACGTAGTAGGCAAATAGATACATACATACATACATACATACATACATACATAGATAGATAGATAGATAGATAGATAGATTAGATTAGATTAGATTAGATTAGATTAGATTAGATTAGATTAGATTAGATTAGATTAGATTAGATTAGATTAGATTAGATTAGATTAGATTAGATTAGATTAGATTAGATTAGATTAGATTTGATTAGATTAGATTAGATTAGATTAGATTAGATTAGATTAGATTAGATTAGATTAGATTAGATTAGATTAGATTAGATTAGATTAGATTAGATTAGATTAGATTAGATTAGATTAGATAGATAGATAGATAGATAGATAGATAAATAGATAGATAGATAGATAGATAGATTAGATAGATATATTGGATATATTAAACAGATTAGATGCAAACAGATGTGCAAGTTCAATGCTAACAGTCTGCCTTCTCTTGACACCAAATGAGTCGGTTCCCGCGCGGCGAAAGCCGAAGGTTCCAGCCTCGTAGACATGGGCTCAGGTGTCCAGCCTCGGTACAAGGGGATTTTTCGTGCCATGGGTCCAACCTGTGGAGTCTCTCAATGGAAACGGATCCAGTGGCCGCAGAGTTGCTGAGGGCACTCCTTTTCTTGATTTTTGGGGGAGAATTTCAGTGAGAGGTGGGGAGTTTGTTGATTTTGCGGGAAATTGATTGAGAGGTGGGGATGAATCCAAAAGGCCTTCCCCTAAAATAAGCCCGCGGAGGTGGAGCTGAGCTGTTTGGATGCTTGGCGCTTCTCCGGCGCACGGTCATTGAATGCGTCAGCTTGCTGCGGTGTGGCTTGGTGGTTTAGACGTTGGACACCTTCCCCTTCAAACAACCCAGCGGTACCTGACTTTCAAAAGCCACGCGACACCAAAAAAGGCCGTTCTGTTTTCCCCGTCCCCTAGTCAACCTTCAGGGGCGGGCTTGCTTAGATGTCCAGTTTGGATTTGCAGTTTGGGCGGCGCAACCACCTTTGTGTGGCAAAGGGCAACACATGCTAAGCAAAACAATGCTGGCCCAAATCATGCTCTGCATCATTGGACTCAAGGTGCCGCGCGAAAAGAGATCACACACTTGAACTCCAGATGGAGAGTGCTAATCTTTCGAGTACAACTGATGAGTCTCGAGTACAACCGACAAGTCTCGAGTACGATGAGTTTCGGCTCGCAATGCACTTGGCTTCCCTGTAGGTACTTTAACAGGGAAACACAAACAACGGCGGTTCAGGGAGGGGACCAAAAGGACTTTCAGCAACATCACGACGCAGGTACAGGTGTCCACGTCTGGACACCCTTCCCACCTTTGGCAGTAGCTTCATTGCGTGCAGTATGCCAAAGGTGCTGCACGCCCCTGCTGCGAAATAGAAAGGGTGGTGACAGGGCATTCTGTCACTCCGCACACACACGCCCCTCTACGAGGGGCGAGGTTTCTCTTTTCTTTTGCAGGAAGATCACATGCTCAAACTCAAATCACTATCGTTGACCAAAATATCCACCACGGCGAGGGGAGCGAGACACTGCCCTAAACCGCTCAGAAGACGGGAACGAAAGATCACCACGTTGAGCGTTGCGAGTGTCGCCATAGAGGACTGAAGCGATTTGTGAAGCAGCCTGGCGATCACCATGAGAAAACGGAGTGGCATAGGTGAAGGTCTCCTCAACTTGAACGGCATCGGAGTTCCGACCTTGACCAAGAGTCTGATCCTGTGAATCGTGAGTTGCGAAGGACTCCATCCGAGACAGAATGCGCTGGTACCCTTGGTGTTGCCAGTCACGGATGTTCCATGCCTGGACTGGCGCTTCGGGATCCGTCACCCGCTGCCATTCACGAAAAGAGTTTTCAGGTAGATCAGGTACGGCGTCACCACGGTGCCATCGTTGAGGTTGTCCCGGAGTGTATATCCGCACCCACTCCTGATCATGCCAGACCGAATATTCGAGCCATGGATACTGCTTGGAATCATCGATGTCCATGTCGAGGCAGGAGGCAAGGATGGTCGCGGGCTCCGATCCAGCTAGTAGGTGGACAAGCACCATGCACAACCATGTTCAAACAACAGCAAAGCAAGATCATGCAAGTGTAGAGGTCACCCTTATTTTGTACGCTGCGCTGCTCATGCAAGGCTAGTCTTCAGTGAGCTCGAAGACGGGCCTCATCTTGTCTTGGCCGCTACCGGACGGATTCACGGGCGTGTAGGGGTCGGAGACCCCACTCGTCTCCGATGGTGTGTTGCCACGCGATGCACGTACTGGTTGATGAGGATGGGAGGTCTGACGTGCGCGGGCCGTCAGTTGTTGAGAAATCCCCTCCTGGAGACGAATCAGTTCTTCAGTGGAGAAATCAGCCGCATCCGAGGACCTGAGAATCGCGTCTAACAGCTCCGGCGACATACTCAACGCCGCCGACTGCGTGGCCACGTTATGGTGATCGGAGGGATACATGGAATCAAATTCATGACCAGCGTGAGGAGCAGCGATTCTCCGATAGCCCTCCGTGGCCCAGTCTCGCTTGTACCACGTAGTGACTTGGACTTGCCCATCGTCTGAGTCCTGGTTGGGAGCATAGAACTCCCGCCATTCTCTGAAAGTATGCGGAGGAGGTGGAGCATCCTGTTCTTCCTGAGGCGTCCATGGTCCCGGATGAAAGATCTTGACCCACTGGGCATCAGGTTGTTGCGGGTCAGGGCACCATTCCAGCCACGGCATGACAACGCAACCACGGAAAGTCAAGTTGATAGGTGTACGGCTGCAGACAACAACGAGTGAAAGCAATTCAACAATCAAAAGGCAAAGACCACTTTTGTAGCACTGTGCGGCGCCAACATCACAGTCAGACTCTCCAGGGAGGCGAGGACGGGCATCAGCTATCATGTGAATTGGATGATGCCGAAGAGGAGGTCATTCCAGCATACATGAGGTCCGGCGCACCTGAAGCGAAAACTGGCCTCGCTATGCTGGGATGTGGACGACCCAGGCGTTGGTACCCTCTGGTGACCCAGTCCCTGTAATACCAAGTGTAGAAAGTGGCGTGGGATACCGGTTGCAGAGCCGTGCCTATAGTTGTGCCGCCAGTGCTTTCCCTGGGCCAGTACACTTCGAAGTGGTAGACCTTGCGCCATTCCCGATAGGCGGTCGGGTCATCCGGGGCCGGTCCCAGGGTGTCAGGGGCTACTGGATGCCACTGACCCGGCACATAGATTCGAATCCATTCGACACTCGTTCCTGCTGGTCCATTGACGATGTCATAGTCAAAATAGCGAGGTAGGATCCATCCTGCTGCACCCTGCACCGTACTATTGAACATTTCAACCCGACAAGCTGCTCAAAGTTATCACAGAGAGCGGCGGACACATGGAGACAACATGCACAGCACCAAGCAAGACAACCCAATGAGAACTCACATTCAAAGCACGCACAACCTCATCTTTATCCAACATGCAACTCAAGAGTCAATCCGAATTATTCCAAGGATCATGGAATGGTGGCGGTGACGGTTCCCGCCACGCTCCATCAGGTACCGACGAGCCCACCGAGGACTCGATGTCTGCGTTGGCGAGCATCGCGAGTCCGATGGATTGGACAGGAGGTCCAAGTCGTTGGTACCCTCGCGTTTGCCAGTCTCGGTACTCCCACACGTGATAGGACACATAGGCACTGGGCGTGGCAATAGGATCCATTGTGGTGCCTCCGGTGCTGTCTTCAGACCAGTACACTTGGAAGTGGTATGATCTGCGCCACTCCCGAAATGTGGAAGCGTAAAGTGGGTCCGGAACTGGCGCTTCCTCCGGAACGGGCCTCCAAATGCCCGGAGAGTAAATTCGAATCCATTCCACTCCTCTGTCGATCTGGTACTCGAAATACTGGGGGTTCATAGCAGCAATACGGGCTTGCACGACTGCTAAACAAATCGAAAATCTGCGGCAAGGACACACATGCATTGCCAACCGCACACATCCACTGAGGAGCAAGGCAACTTTTCAAACACAAGGTGAAACGGGTCAGCGAGGTCTGAAATGTCTGAAACCTGGCTTTCACTGTCTTTGATGTCGCGCACACCTGCAATGATAGTGACCTGGTCGTCTACGTGCACAAGGGGAAAGACATTTCCGTCCATGGCGCAGGATGGCGTGACAGTAATGTTTGCATGTTGCCGATGGGGATCGCGATGAACGGCCAGCACGCTTGGAATAAAACACTGTAAAGGGCCGTCGAGATCGCCTCGGCGCTGAAGCTGATGCTGTCCGAGATCGTTTGGACGAGGGCCCTGGACTGCGTGGTTCTTCATCACGGGAGTGGTCACTGCTGTGAATCGAGCGGCGTGTGCGCTGCGATTTCGAAGAGGTAGGGCAGGATTGTCCACGAGGGGCTGAGATCGTGGGGCTGCGTACCGAGGGCATAAACTGTGGGTGAAGAATCACCGGTGGTGGTGGTGGTGGTGGAGGAGGAGGTGGAAGAAGCAATGGCAAACTTGGCGGGGGCGGAGGTGACGTAGTTAACCGTATGGGTCTGTCGAGTAGAGCCCCGGGTCCATGAAATTGTAACCACGTCGGCTGCGCTCCATGGGTCCAGGTAATGTACGTCTGTACAACTTGTTCCGACATGATTTGAGCAACTCAGGCAAGACATCACTGCATGTCAACGACATTGCACAACACGACAAGCAAGATTGATTCACATGCGAGCAAGCAAATATCATGTGATCAACAACGCGAATCGGACACACCGCCGCTGCGTATCATTTGGTCAATCAATGGTCATTGCTGCATTTGTCGGGCATGGTGCTAGCCGCGAGCTTCAAGTTGTTGATAGACCTTCCATGCCTGCTTGACTTCCTCAATCGGCTTCTGAAGAAACCGCGCAATGGTCTTATAGGTGGGCCTGGAATCTTTATCCTTCTTCCGTCTCACCATTTCATCCAGCTCACCCTGTGTCCATGCCGTGAAAGGTTCACGGTACGCATTGCGAAGTGCAATGGTAAATTCTTGTAGAAGTTCGCGAGGACCATGGACCACCGTCGGCGACGGCCGGAACGACGAGGCACCTGGATGCGGACGTATCGAACCATCAGAATCCGACTCAGGTGTCGTAGGCGTCGTTTGTCCTGGCTCTCGTCCACCGTGTGCTGCGAAGGGAGCGAGAGGACGAGGCGGTGGCAGTCGATCTAACACAGATTCGGGCCGAGTACCAGGATTGTGTTCACTAGCATCACGATGTGCGGGTCGAGGCGGGGACAAAGCCGGTATATACCAGGTAGATGACGTGTCCACCGGTCGAGCCCGAATGCGTGTGGGGGATCGAGATCGGTCGGAGGAGGCGAGCTCCGTGATGATGCGGGGCCGCAACCCATGTCTGGAGTTTCTTGGTGCTCTCGGGGTCACCACCGTGTCTGTCGGACGACTACGCTCCGTCATCAAGGCAAAGTTCAGTGTGTCCAAAGCTGTCGCAACCTGGGATGCAAGAACATTGAGCACAGCCACCAGGTTGTTCACAAACTCAGCAGACAAC